GGTCAGCTGCTGGCTGTGTACTTAGGGAAAGCAGGAATTGGCTTTTCATTTTACCTCATGCTTTAAGAAATGGGTTATTTAGTGGGGTTTGTTCAGTTGAAATACTGTCTGCATGTACAAGAAGCTACTGTTCTCAAAATCTGGCTTAGTATTTCAACAAATGGTGCTTGTTCTGGGTACTTAGCTGGTGAGAATAAATAGCAGTCCTGCTGTAGTTGTTACTGAGTGGAATGAGGAGTTTATAGGGAAACTGAGTGGTAGGATCTTCCCTTGGCTATATTTGCTCCCATTCAGATCTGTCTGCTTCTGTGTCTTGCTGCACAGTGTTGCTTCTCTTGTGTCTCCCAGCCTGTTTGACCTGGGTTGGGAAGTGATCATGTCAGTCAGTCAGAGCCATGCACTAGCCCACAGGTTTTAAAGGAATAATTCAGGTTGGAAGAAGCCACAATGATACGGGGACTGATTGGTGAGCAGCCAGAGTAATAGGTGTGAATGGATGGCAGAGTTCTAGGGCAAGTCCAGTTGATGATCTTTTTGCATCAGCTCCAGACAGAGCAGCAGATCTGACCTTAGTCTGGAGTCTGCTAGTTCAGTACTACAGAAACTTCAAAGGTCAGGTGAACATCCTGAAAAAAGAAAAATATAGCTGTGACTTCCTGGGCCTGCAGCACTATGCTACAAGTTCTAGTGCCATATGGTTTGACAGATGAGAACTCTTATGTATGTACTAAAAGCCTGAGGTACAGATCTTCTGTGCACATGGGAGTTTCCAACAGCACAGTGATCAACCCCATGAGTGAGTTTGGTGAGTTGGTCAGTCTTTAATCCTGTGGCAGGATCTCTGTTGTGTGTGCAGAACGTGGAACTTCCCTCTGAAACAACCACTCCCTGTGTCAATGGGTTGGTAACTCCATTACTGGGATGGAACTGGGCTTAGCAAACTGTTCAAATGGACTATAAAAAACAAGCAAGACCCCCAAACCAACAAAAGTCTATTGTTTTTGTTGCCTCTGTAGCAGTACTGAAATGTGTTGTTATGGAGACCTATGAAGGGATGCTGCCTTGAACTTTGCAAGTCCAAAGTACTGTCCAGCAGGCTAGGGAGCAGAAGTAGTGTAGTAGTAGAAGTTAGTGTAGAAGTGGCCATTCTGTGAATGCCACCTCTTTTAAAGTTAGTAATCATCTCTTTTATGCTTGATTTGCTGAGACTGGACTATTGCAAGAACCTAGAGCATTCTGTGGGATTTATAACAAATCAGATTAAATTCTGAGTTTTGAGTAGTACACTGTGACTGTGCTGGGGCAGGTGAGGAGGGGGGACAGCCAAGGGCCAGGGCTTTGAGTTCTGAATTGCATAAACTCCTGGCCTGAGCTGACTGGACAGTGCTGTCAGCATGTTTATTATTATTCTACTTTGAGAATTTCCACAGTGCTCTTGCAGAAAACCAGACTGTGAAGGGGGATGTTTCTTGTCCTGACCTTTGTTTCCAGAGGCTGTACTGAAAGTAATTCTTGGAAGTGTAATGTGACCTCTCTGGCCATGATACTGAAGCCTTCTAGAAAGGCTCCCTGAGTGCTGCCTGGACAGCAGCTAGCCAGAGTGACAGGGTGAGCAGCCACAAGGCAGGATAAAGGATCAAAAAGGGTGTGACATCTGCCTGGGACACCTGCAGGGTTGCATATGCTGATTGTGCTGCTGGGACAAGCAGTGGCACTTGTTCTGTAGTTAACATGCTTGACCTGTGCAATGTGTGTCCTGTTAATTGCCAGCTAGTTCAAAATCTGGAAAGGAGGGGTGTTCTCTGCCACTCAAGCACAAAGTTATCAAACCAGCTCTTCTGGATGGATCAAGTTGCTTTCACAGCTGTCAGCACTGCAGGTCTCCACCCTCTAAAGTGCTTGACTGATGGCCATGATGGCCTTTTCTGTAAGTAGGTTGGGAACTTGTAGATATATTAAGCTGGTTAGTCAAAGGAAAAAAAAAGCCAACAATCCAACTTGACCCAAACCATCCAAACAAACCCAACTTGGTACTCTGGGTTTGACTTCCAATTTCTGCTGGTAAGTGAAATCTAATAGGAGTTGAGTAGGGTCTAGGATGAATCATCTCTCCTGTTCCCTCTGAGCTAATGAACCTCAGTGGTGCAGAATGCTGTTAACAAGATGGGAGCTTTTAATGGGCATATTTTGTGTAAGCTCTTGATAGTACTATCTCCTTGTCATAGGGAGAATTTGCTTGTTTATAAATAACTCTTGATAAAGGTCCATTCCACTTGGTTGTTCTGAAATCTCCTTGGCCTGAAGAGGTTTTGTGTGGCTGCGCTCTGCGCTGGCACAAGGATGCTGCTGCAGCTTGAGGTCTTTGGGGTCTGACAAGTTTTGATGACTTCCAGGTAGGACAGGATGGTTAATGTCAGGCTCCAAGTGAATGAAGAGAAGCTGCAGGTGTGGCTTCAAACCATTTTTCAGTCTGCCCCAGTTTACAGACCCAATCCCTTACTGCAGCTGTGTATTTAAGTGAAGTGTGTATGTAAATAAAAGAAAAGGAGGCTCTTCCAAGTAACCAAGTTGCACTACCAGGGCCATACCTTGAATAGAAACTGTGAAACATTGTGTCAATGTGTTTGCTAAAGCACAGGCACCTCTTCTTGGAACTATCTGACTTCAGTACTTTTATCAATAAAATATTTCCTTTATGTTTGTAGGCTGTGATGCTGGAAGCTTTCTTCCTGATTGTCAAAATCTTTCTCCCTCCATTCCTGGGCTATCCTCCCAAGTTTTCTGGCCTCCAAAGGATCCTATCCTTTGCCTATATGAGGCAAAGCCTGTATAGAAGCTCTTTCAATAAAGAGGAGAGGACTTATTAAATATCTGGGAATACAGAACCTTGAGGCCAAAAGAGAGAGACTTCCCTCTGAAGTGCTGACCAGTCAGTGTCAGTGTATTTTGTGCAGTTTGGTGTCCTGTTGACAGATTTTCTTTTAAAAGTTGCTCCTTCCAGTTGTCAGGCCTGCTAGTGTAATCAATTTTTTGGTCTGCTGTATTGATCACTTTGAGCTGGGGTGATGCTGGGGACTGTTTTGCACACCCACTTGGATAATGTTGCAGTTTGGTTCTAGCTGCTTAGGATTTAAGCACTCAAGTGTACTTCCTGTTCAAACCAAGCACCATGCAAGCTTAGTATGTTCTAACCATTTTTTTTCAAGATTTAATACCATTGGGCTTTGGGACAGCACGAGGTTTGATGTTTGGAAGTGGAAACATTCTCTGTCATTTTGCAGTTAAATGAGGTGTTGTCAGAGCTGGGTAAGGAGAAAATTGCTGGAGAAACTTCAGGGTCACTGTGTTAGCAGTTTTTCAGATTTATGGTGATAACTGCAGTGTCTCATTACATGCACAAAACTGGAGCCCTGCTCATAAGTCTTTTGCTGAGAATGGTATCTCACATGCAAAGTCTGACAGGAATGCCTTGGCAGATCCTGTGAGCATTGGCAGGTTCCCTGCCATGGATGAATGAACCTGTGTGTTCCATGGTGCCTCATGGCTGCATCCTGCAGGAGAACACTCCTTGTGGGCTGCTGCCACAGGAACCTCTCTGTGAGCAGCACATCAAGGGATTGGGGGTGGCTGCTGCCTTGGCTTGGAAATGGAAACATGACTAGAAGGACAGTGTGCTGAAAATCATATGTGATAATCCCAGATAAGTAACTGGTAGGAAGGTGCCTTGGTCAGGTTTTTGCACATGGGCTTCCAATAGAACATGGCAAAATTTAAATTGGGAGTGGGAGGCAATTCAGTAAGCACAAAGAAGCTTTCCAGATGCTTGTCAGGAATGGTAGAGTTGATTTCTGCTGTGGGACAAACTTCAGTGTTGTGGTGCCTGAACAAGAGAGGAGACTTCACCTTGGATAGGGTAGTTTGGTTTTCTTTTAGGCCTCCAATCCAATTAACTCCTGAATTCTAAAAGTCAGGAGTATAGGATATTTGCACTGATACAGTGTGTGTCTGAAGGGCTGTGTTACCTTACATTCATTACTAGCTTTAATCTGAGTTATACTTTTTTCAGCTACTGTTTTATCCTGAAAGGGTATTAATTGTTAAATTGTGTATGAAATAGTCTCTTAACTGTTTTTAAAGAATTGATACTTAACTGTTGCTAAATCTTGCTTATTAGTGTACTGTAGGAAGAGTATGAAGCCAGAAACGACTTCAGTGGGTTTTTTTGTTTTCTTATCCCAGAAGTGTTAGGGCATGCACATGTTCAGTAGTTTATTGTCTTACAAACAGGGAATAGGTATTCTAAAGTCTGTGCTGTATTGAGACTTGAAACAGTGTTGGGATTAGAGAGGAGTTTATTCATCTGATGTTTGTTATCCTGGGCTTCCATTCTAGATCCATGGTCTTCTTGTGCCTGTTGGCAAACAGACCTGTTGACAGAAAACATTCATTTCCCCTGACACCCTTACGACAAGAAGGTGGTGATATAAAAATGCCCTTTTTTAGTCCTCTTTCAAGCTTCTTTGAAATGATTCTTTTTTTTCCCCAGATAAAAGGCCCTTGACTTAAGATGCCTTTTAAAAGGGGTTTTGAAGCTGCAAATCGGGGTTGAGGTTTTTTTGTGATTCCTTAATACATATCTGAGAGAGAGATTTGAAATATAGGCTAGACACAAAGCTGATGAAAATGCACAGGGAGCTTCTGTTGACCTCTTGGCATTCCCAAGAACATCACCCTTGCTGCTGGAGATGGAAGCCCGGCTCAAGGCTTCACAATAAAAGAAAAAGTGTTGTTTGCCCTGAGCTGTGCCTCACTAAAGTGTTCTCACCTGTCCATTTGCAGGTAAGCTTTATGAAGAGGAAGAGGACGATGCCCTGCCGGACTCGGACGCCCTGCCCGACTCGGATGACGAGGTGGAGCTGGATAAGCCACGCCCCATACAGATTGTCCTTGCTCATGAAGATGACCATAACTTTGAATTAGATGAATCAGCTTTGGAAAAAATCTTGCTTCAGGAACATATTAAAGATCTTAACATAGTAGTTGTGTCTGTAGCAGGAGCTTTCCGCAAAGGAAAATCCTTTTTGCTGGACTTCATGCTTAGATACATGTATAACAGGGTGAGTAGTTTGGATTTTTCCTGCAGGAGAAAAGTGCTTTGGTATTTTAGTAATTTCTCTTTGTGTTTGTTAAATTGAGCATAAATATAGCAGGTCAAAATTTTCTGATATATTGGGGGAGGGGAAATCAGCTACTCTGCTTCTACACTGTGAAGAAGGGTATTTAAGTGACAGTTTTTCAATGTACCCTATCTTGCAGTTATCAAGGGAATTTATTGGTGTCCCAGTGTAAGTGGACACAAAAAGAACTTGAATAATGAAGTGTGATGGCCTTCTAATTGAGCTTTGGGGAAGGGCTTTTCCAGGTGGTGACTTGGAGGAGCCTTGCTGTGACTTTATCTCCTGAAATCATATTATAGCACTCACTTGGCAGTTGTTGCAAAAATAAAAGTCTTACCAGATAGCTAAATCTGCTTAAATATGATGTATGACAAAAAAGAGAAAGCTTCCTTTTTGTTGCTTGGATTGCATTTCTGAATGCAGTCCAGGAACTCTTAAAATCCTTTTAAGTTATTGATTGATTAAAGCCTGATCCAAAATTTAATTTCTTCTTTTAGTTTGTAGCTTTTGGCTAGTGTTGTCTTGTTTTGAGCCCTTGGCTTACATGGAAAAGGTGGAGTGGGATTTTCTGTGAACCATACACATCTGCCTGTCACAGTTTGTGGGGTGTTTCTTTTAATGTGCTTTATGAATATTGACAGGTCAGTGTTTTGTTGCTTTTTGAAGCTCTTAAAAAACCCAGAACTGATTCCTTTTTTGTTCACTGTTCTTTGGAGGTAATTTGTGCTAGCTGGCTTGAGGGAAAATGAAGATGAACCCTGCAGTTACAGGAAGCATGAGAGTACAGCAGAAAAGCTGCTGATAGTTGGCAAATGAAGACTTCCTTCTCTCAATCCCAGTGGTGCCTGTTATTGAGTTCCTCTCCCTCATTTTGGAAGAGCTGTGGAAGTAGTACCCTGAGGATAGGGTCTCAGGGTAGGAGGAATGCAGAGTAGCAAGCTGGTACTCCAGACTTCTTGAGACTCTTAACCTAGGGAGGAAAAAGGTTTCGTTTATTATGGATGGTGTTCAAAATGAACCAAACAATAAAACCCCCACCAATCTCTGCAAACAAAGAAAAACACAAACTCCTGCATCCACTGATCTGAGCAAGGTGCTGGGCTGGGCAGAGGTAGTGTGAGTTTCCTTTTGAAAACAGAAGGGCTGGGCTTTAAACAAATACTCTTAATTTTCAGATAGTGAAATAAAACAAGTGTTCATATAACAAAACAGATTGAAATGCTGTTTCAGCCTTGTCTATCAGGCCTCTCCGTTTCCTTTATTGTGCAGTCACTTTTCTCAGTTTCCTGTAAATGTCCTTCAAAATAGCATTTGTTTCTCTTGAACTGAAGGTGAAAGCAAGCTTGCCAATCTACTGTAACAATTGTTTCTTACCAAGAGCAGAGAAGTCTTGCTCTCCATGTGCTGCTTCTGGCCAGGTATTTCCATTCTGAAGATGTATTGCTTGCAGACCTTTAGTTGAGCTGATCCAACTCTCTGATGCCTCAGAAGACACTGCACTTTGCTGAATTGTTTTTCTGCCAGCTCAGTGACGTAAATTGGCTTAGGGAGGGAGTTTGACAAGCATCAGAACTGCTGCAAACTGATTGATGGGAGCTGGGGGTGATGGAGGATAAATGCAACGCCTCCTCTTTGGAGCACTCTTGAGTTGTATGAAGTCAAGTGATATCCTCTGCTTATCCAAATTTAGTACAGGAGGAGAGATCTTGGTATAGTTTTATAGTACTTAGTCTGAGCCCTCCATCTTTAGTCAGGCTCAATTGCAAGTCTGTATTTTTTGTGAACTAAATATTGCACAGATTACTAAAGTGACTGCATTCAGTTCATGTGCCAATCAGGCAATTTTGGGTTGTCCTTTTATGTGGACATTAATGTGCATAATGAAAAACTTGCCAATAAAACCTTCAGAATCTCATTTTCTTGTCTTAAACTGAGTGCCAGAGGTCGTGTGGAAAGTTGGCATTGTAACAATCTCAGTGGTGCCAGCTGAAGTCACAGGTAGGATTTTGGCATGGCAGAGGTTGATCACTGCCTTCAGGGAGGTGGATGTGTCATTTCAAGCACTGATCCTTAGTGCTGTGATTGCTCTTTTGAAATGGAACAGCAGCACTTGTGTACTCAGCAAGCTGCTGCAAGGAGCCTGTGGTCCTGAGCTTTAGTAAGAGTTGGGTGCAGCAACACCTGTAAGTTTAGATGTAAAAGTTTATTTTTTTACAGGAGTATCACCTTCTTAGTTAGGGTGAACTGTGTATTATTGCACTAAGCAAAGCTGCATTGGGCTTTTCCTTAGTGTGGAGTAAAGTTAGAGAAATTACCCTTTAGGGGACTGAGATAAAATTGTAGAGCAACTTCTAGCTTGATTTCAGGTAGGAGCCTTTTTTCCCTCCTCCCATCTCCTGAAGGTCTTTCAAGGCAGCTTGATGGATGGATACTTAAAATACTGAGCTTTAGCTAAGGAAAGATGCAGGTAACAAGCCAGGAGTGTTTCAAAGTGATGCACAGGTCAGTCAGAGGCAGGCTTAAGTACATCATCCATGAGATGAAGCAGCTTCAGGTGAAGCTGAGCCTGTTCAAACACCAAAGTCTCCTGTGATATGAATCACTTGTGAAATCAAATGAGGTCATATCTTGTGCTCACTGAGGGACTTGTCAAACTGTGTAGTTTTGATCTGATTTGTTACAAATAGGAGGAATACAAATAGGAATAATGTCTGGACCAAAATGGGCTAAAGTATTCTTGTATAAAAGAAAAATGGAACATACTGAATAATGAGTCTTTTTGAAAAGTAAAAAGCTGCAGCCCATTGACAGGTACATGTGAGATATGAACCAGCATTGTCAAACTGTATCCTGGAGTGTGCTGCAGCACAGAGCAGGCTTGGAGCTTTCATTTCTAGAGTGGTCTGTGGAAGCATCAGTATCTTCTGGGATAGAAAAACTACAGGGAAAAGCTGTTCAGGTTTTGCTTAGTGTCGCTGGTAGAAGTGTGTGTGCCTATCAAAATAAACAAAAGGAAAAAAAAAACCAAACAGCCAAACCCAAACATCTGTACCGACCTGTAGAACTCTTTACTTGCATACCTGTGTTCATTTTTTGAATTTTTATCTGCTTCTGTCCCCTTTGTCTGATCTAAGTAGCAGAGTTGAGTGGTGCACTGTTAGCATTTGGAAGAATGCTGGTGCAGAACTGCTGGATTGCCTTCATGCTGCTAGGCATGAGGAAAATGTGCAGGTTTTTTCCCATCCCCCTTTAGAAGTAAGCAGTTTCACTTAGTTGTTTCAAGTATTTTTATTCTGTACAGTCCCTAGGTACCCATGCTGTGTTCTGAAATGCGAAGAAATGTCTTGAGCCATTATCTGAAAACTGCCAGTGTGGAGTCAGCAAGGTAGAGCCCAGAAGTGAATTGAGAAATCTCCACTTTGACCTTCTCAGTAGACTCTTTCCTGGCTGGGAATCTGCTCTGGGCAGTTCAAGGCAATTCATTAAATGTCTCTTATGCCAGCTTGCTGTGTTCTAGCCTGTGAAAGAAAGCTTTGTGTACACTGAAATCCTCCATGAAAGAAGTGGCAGGCAGGCAACAGTTTAACTGATGAGGGGGCTGCAGAAAAACCTATCAAAGTGAAACTTCCTTGGGGTGCCTGCTCATCCTCCTGACTTGCCAGTGCATGAGCTGCGTTTCTGGGTTAGATGTGCTCATATAATGGCTGGATTCTTGTGGGTGAGCTGCTGCTCTGTGCCTGTCCTTGAAGACCTCATTACAACTCCATCAGCCAGGAATGTTAGATGCCAGCTGTACTCGCCTCTCAGATAGCTTCTCAGCTCTAATATGGGTGGGTTGATTGGCATCTGTCAAACTCTTAAACTGACCTTTGCTCTGTAGCTGGCAAGTATAGATTGTGAATCTGCTGGTTGTTGTCTATTCTCTGTGGCTTCTGCAAGATGGCATTAAGGGTCTGGTGCTGGCTTCTGTTAGTGCAGGGACTCAAATGCTTGGGCCAGCTGTTACTGAGGGGGAAGGGAGAGGATTAAGTTAAGATCAGGTGTTTTGTCTCTTGCTGAAGTGTAGCTGTTCCTGAGTTGAAATATCTGCTGTTCTGTTTAAGCAGAGTTTTCTCAGCTGTGAGAGTGGAACTGGTGGACAAAACTGTGCTGTTCTCAATACCTCTGAGTGCTGGAGACTCAAAAACTGCATGTTTACATTTCAGTGTCTGAAAAGTTGTGCAGCCACTCAAATACCGTGGGGTTGCTTTGTGGATGATCTTGAAACACAGCAGAGTAGCACTGTGTTTTAATATTTTGTGTACTGTTGTCAGCTGGCTCTGAGGAAAATGTAATAACAGTGTGGAAGTCTACTGAAATATAGTATGTTACAAAAAAATAGAAATCCCCTCCTTGGTTTTACATCAGTTTTTCCTTTTGTTTTGTAGACTTCTCCTAGTTGGATAGGTGGAAACACTGAGCCATTGACCGGGTTTACATGGAGAGGTGGATGTGAACGGGAAACCACTGGCATTCAGATTTGGAGTGAAGTGTTTGTAATTGAAAAACCTAATGGAACAAAGGTGAGTGCTTAACTTGCTTTGATTTACTCAAGGTCTCCCTTGCAGGAGTTGTAGGCTTCCTGGTTTGGTTGTGTGGTGGGTTGGTTTTCTTTTTTTTGGTTTGATGTTTTTTGGGTTTTTAAAAATAGAGAGGCTGTGGATGCCCCATTTGGGAGGTGTTCCTGGTCAGGTTCAGTGGGGCTCCAAGCAACCTGGTCTGGTGGATGGTGTCCCTGCCTTTGGCAGAGGGATTGGAACAAGATGATTCTTAGAGGTCCCCTTCAGCCTAAACTGTTTTGTCATTCTAAAACTTAAATAAGATTTTTGCCTCTGTGTACACTTTTAATGTCATGGATTTCATGGCGGCTGTTTGAACTTCGGTTGCTTTCCTTTGCACTGAGCAGCTGTGTAACATATTTGGAAACTGTTGTCAGTGTAAGGATGGAGATTGGTTCTTACAACCCAAAGTTCAACAATAGTCTCATTCTGAGAGTACTTTGTTTTAGCAAAATCTGCCCTGTCCAGGCTGCTGGGTGGGTTATCCTGGGGATGTTGTAAATCTGCAATGGCTATAAATACTATCTACAGAAAAATGCTGGGGGGAAAAGCTCTGTAACACACTGTTCTTTGAAGGGTGAGAATATGTTCTAACTTGTAGCTGTAGTAAAGTGTAGTGCATGGCTGTAAGTACTTCAGGGTCTGGAAGTTGGTCCTTCCATTTAATTTTAGCAAGCAGTCTATAAAAAAGGATAAGTCTAACAGTGAGAAAAAAAGCACTAACTTGATTCTTTTTTAACTCTCAAGTCAGTTTGACTGCAAAGTTTACTGGGAGGTGTTTATGCTGAAATTAGGCGTTATGTTAATGTCATTAATAAATATTTACTTCACAATAGTGGTGGTCATCTTGTGCTATTTGTGTTCTGAACCATTGGTTTTAGGTTATTTAAATTTCATACCCTTTCTTTGCATTTGCAAAGGAAACATCTGATGCCCAATCTGTGGGACATGGATTTTAAAAATAGTGGCTTAGTGGTGTTTAACAAATTTCACAGCTAACCAAACATTTCTCTGGTTAAAAAGCAGTTATGTGTGAATCTGCTTATGCTTTGGGAACAAATCACTCACTTGTTCTTGCTTCTCAGTGGGAAGGAGAAGGGAAGTGTAGCAGATCCCAAAGATGGGAGTTGGACTGATAAACTTTTTTCATTAATATCACTTCCTTCCTTGTTGTTCCAGCAGACAGTATCAGTTATCTTGTTTTCTGCTGAAAAAAATTATCTTAAGATATATATGTATTCATAAGTAACATCTTACTCTTAGCTCTGATGAGCTGTGCCAGATCTGCAGCTGAGGCTGGTGTTCTTGCAGTGGAGGAGAGCTGCCAGTTGGTCTGCATGGCCCCCCAGTGGGCCAGGGAGGGCTGTTTCTGTGGGACAAGGTGGCCAGGCAGGGCCAGAGGCTGCTGCTCACTCAGCTGTGGCTGTGTGCTGTCCCCTGTGCAGGTGACTGAGGTTTCATCAGCAGGCACAGGGGCAGAGACTTGAAACAGAACTGACCCCAGTGGCCAGGAGTGTGGAAGGGCCCATGATCTGGTTAACTGCTGCTGTGCTTTCAAACTCTGCAGGTTGCTGTACTACTCATGGATACCCAAGGTGCCTTTGATAGCCAATCCACTATCAAAGACTGTGCAACAGTTTTTGCCCTGAGCACCATGACGAGCTCTGTCCAGGTGAGAATATCCCTGCTGACAAATAATGGCAGAACCCTCTATCCTGAATGTGCAGAGAATATATCCTGAGCCACACTTGGAAAGTTCACCTGCAAATCTTCCTCCAGCTCTGATTTAAAATTCCATACTTTTTCTTGATTTCATTGTGGTACATAAACTACCCAAGTTGCTCGGTGGAATCAAGGTTATGCAAGGCCAGGCTGAGTTAAATTGCTGACAGAACTGGGAAATCCCCTTCCCCCCAAGATGTCAAAGTAGCAACTGCTTCTTTACAGATGTGTTACAGAATCTTTTTTAAGGCTGTAGATACAGTTTAGGGTGACATGCTGTGATCAGCCAAACTTTAAATTGCTGCTTCTGTTCAAGTGTCAATTAAACTCCTGAGAATTGTGCTATAGTCAAAGCTACTTCTGAGCTTGTGCCTTAGAAGTGCTAAAAGTGAGCAGGTTTTTGAGGGGTGACAAGTGACTTTCTTCAGACATGCCACAACCTAAAAGGAACAGGAGTAGGTAGAGCATTGCTTCTGTCCTGTGGAGTTGGCTCTGGTGAATCATTTTTGAATAAGGAGGTGACTTTTGTTTGAGGTGTGTTCTGTGACACCTTTCTACTTGCTGACTTTTGGGTAGTTACACTTTTTCTAGATGGAGCAAAAATTCTCAATGTGTGAAAGAGACTATATGATTGTAAGAGAGTGGTTTCATGTGACACTGTAATTGTCTCTTGCAGGTATACAACTTGTCTCAGAATATTCAGGAAGATGACCTTCAGCACTTGCAGGTAGGAATATGGTGAATTTTTGTTAAACTGCTTCTGAAGTGATAGTCCTGACAATGTTCTGGAAGTTACTATTCATATAACTGACTTGGGAGCTGTTTGTTGCCTCATGTAAAACACTGAATTTTACCTGAAACTGGTGCAGTCTGTAAAAACTGTGTTTGCATCAACTCCATGATGCTTCTACTGTGCCAATGTAGAGGTAAAAATAGTATGAGCTTCTAATCTGGCTAGTTCTCTTAAAGTCTGTTCTCTGTATTGCAAGTTCTTAAATTCCTGAGAAAATGAGAAAGGAAAATTGTTTATGGAAATCCTTAATGGTGAAATTCCAGTGCTACATGTTTTTCCTAAAATAGGAAAATGGATGTTATTTCATAAGCAGTTTGTAAGGAAGTGCTGGAGTTTGGGTCAGGCCAGAAAGAGTCTTCTGCCCAGAAGCCGTCTCTGTTTTTTCAGCTGAGAAACTTCTGCAGAATTTTATCCTGCTTAGAAATAAAAGCAGGAGAATGTCTTATCTTCACCATGGGTTTTTTATCCTCTAATGCAACATTGTGGTCAAAGGCCACTGAATTATGGCTTCATGTGAATGGTGCAAGAACATTATCTCCTTAACTTAAAACCTGTAGCTTTACAGAGTAGCTTGTGTATTGCCAAATGCCAAGGCCATGACCTTGTCACAGCTTAAAACTGTTCTGTGTGTCTTCAGTGCTGCAGCAGACTGACTGCCAATGCTGGAAGTAAAAGAGCACTAACTAAAAGTAGTCTTATGAAGCTGTTCTCAATTAGCAGGGTTGTATCACTGTGTCCATATCCCCCACACCCCCAAAAAAACCCAACCAAGCAGTGAAAACAAAAAAAATTCTAGGTAATTATTTGAAAGCCAGGCTTCCCTTGAGACTTTGGTCCTTTAACAGGCTTGGTGTACTCTGAATAAAACAATCTATCTCTGTTCTACTGGAGGGTGAGATTTGAAGGAAGGAAGGGAAGAGAAGGATGATAAATGCAAGCACTGGGTGAGGGACACCCATGCATTTAAAGTTGCAGCAGGGAATCATGATCGAAGGGAAGGAAATTCTGAATTTCTGTTTTAATAGGAATTTATATAATTGTGAAATACTGTTAGTCTCTGACTGCCTTTTGCATTTAGCATGGAAGTGAATGAGGTAAAGAGTTTGGGCCAAAGAAACCAGACTCTTGTGGGTGCTTGGCCACTTCACAGCTGCTTTTGCTCAGGGTGACAAGGGCTTGTAAATTAAATTAGTCTTGTGACTTCCCAGGTGCTCTTGTGATCAACACCAGACCTGCCCTTTGAGCCATAATCTACCTGAGACACTCCAGGAGTTAGTTTAATGCAGAATAATGATTGCCTGGCACTGCAGAGTTCTGGTGTGCTTCCATCATCTCAACCTGCAGTATCTGTAAGGAGGATCAAGCCCTGCCAGTACTTGAGGCAGCCAGCACAGTCCCTAATTCCTGCTCTTGTGTGTGGCTTGGCCAGCAAGGAATGCTGCTGGTGTCAAAGATGGTGAAAGCAGTCAGAGGAAGACAGCTGATACCAGCCTTTATACTGGAGGGAAGGAACAATTATTAGTTAAGGTCATGAGGTGATGCAGAGATCTGAGAAGCTGCTGAACTTGGCTTGTATTTAAATGTCTGATATATTGGCTAGAGCCAAGTTCCCTGGGATTTCCAGGAATAAACCTTTTGTGGGAAGTAAGGGGCAAATGTTAGTCAGGCTGACCTCCTCAGCCTAGGAAGCAAGTGTTGGAAGCTGGCTTGGTGAGAAATGCAGCCAGCTTTTCTCTGAGAATAGCCCAACAGCCACCCACTTAAAACTGCAGTGTGTTGACAGTTCAGGAATGGCACTGTGAAGCCTGTGGGAATCATGTCTCCTACCTGAATCTTATTGAGGGTTGGTATACTCATTATTGAGGATTGTTTGCCATTCTCAACCTGTAGTAAGGTAAAAGATTGAAACCTGTAGTAAGATAAAAGATTGAATGCTTTATTTTTTCATGACATAATAGAATATTTCACAGCAGAAAAATGTGTTTTCTGTGTGGCACATCCTTACGCTGTTCTTCCTCTCAGTTGTTTACAGAATATGGAAGACTAGCTATGGAAGAAATCTACCAAAAGCCGTTTCAGGTAACTGTGTTAAATGGATTTAAGCAGTTGAATATGTAGAAAATGGGCTCAGGATAATTTCTGCAGATCAGTTAGTTGGGCTGAAGGTAACCAGTTCTTTGCAAGACTAATTTTCCTTCACTATTGCCACATGGCTTTGCAAAAACCCAATGGAAAAATGCTGGGTTGAGCAAGTATAGTTTTGTGCTTGAGTTATAAGGTATAAAAAGAATCAAAATGTCAAGTGATATGCAGGTGTTAAGGAGAAAAATTTTGTGATTTTGTGCTGCCTTCTTTTTTATTACTCTGAGATATAGTTGGTCCTTGCTGGTGGTAGATGGTTCTGAGAAAAGATCCTGCTTGGTGGTGGGTGTTCTGTTTAGTTGGTTTTTTAAGCAAGCAAACACTTGCACCACAGAACTACAAGGCTGCTACATTTAGAGCAGCAAAATATACCAAACATTTACATAGTATCCTTGCTTGTAATCTATAATATATTTAGTTTTAGAACAGCCAAATACTTAAAATAATCACATGTGATAGAAATTTTTGACCTTAGGAATGATGAAAACCATTCACTGCTGTTGTTCTTCCTGTTGCAGACATTAATGTTCTTAATTAGAGATTGGAGTTATCCTTATGAACATGCATATGGCTTGGAAGGAGGAAGAAAGTTCCTAGAGAAAAGATTGCAGGTAAGTTATCTCCAGTAGTCCTGTTCTGATTTTCTAAGTGACACTGTGCTGTCAAGACAATGATGCATCATGAGCTGGCTCCTTGTGCTAATAAAATACATTTGTGGTGTTTCTACTTATAGGCAAAGTTGGCATTATTAGGTTCAGAAATTAAAGCTTAAACACACTTTTGTGCTCTTACTGCTTTTAAGATGATGGTTGATCTTAACTGCAATGCTGTAAAACTGGTAGCAGTTCTTAATACCTTTTTTTCCTTCAGGTAAAGCAAAACCAACATGAAGAGCTACAGAATGTAAGGAAGCATATTCACTCCTGTTTCAGTAATCTTGGGTGTTTCCTGTTGCCCCACCCTGGTCTTAAAGTTGCAACAAATCCAAATTTTGATGGGAGATTGAATGGTAGGAAGCTTTTCATTTTGTGTTTCTTGATTCAGATCACTGAGTTTGTTTTGTTATATGATGAAAGTTAAGCACTGCAATGATTAGGTATTGAAATGCCTGACTGGAAAATATAAGGCTAAAAGGTGAAGCTGCAGAATTTAGAAATGTGCATTGTGTGCTCTTTTTAGTGGTTTAAAAGTAGAGGAATTAAGCAGGGAGAGGGAATGGATATCTTTGTGTCTAGCTGTCCATTGTAATCTGATAACTTGAGACGTGCTTAAAGGTCATTTAATGGAGATTCCAAAGATAACTAAGGGCTCCAGAGGGCAGAATTCCCAAGATTAAAGACTTTATTTTCTGGAAAGGCTTTTCTCTAAGAACTTGCTGAACCACAGGTCAGCTCTGAAATGGCTGAGATAAAAGGCACAGGGTTCTGCTACTGCAGAATGAGAGGCAGTCAGGATTCCTCCAAGGGATGTGTGTCCCCCAACTGAGGGAATGCATCAGGATGGCAAAGGCTGTAACAGTGAGTTGCAGTGGTGGGGTGCCAGCCCCTGCTGTGCTGAGGGCACACCCTGTGAGGTCATTGGGCATTGGTGTAATTAGAAAAATGCATTTAAAATATTGAAAGGACAGTGGCACCTTGTTCTCCCAGTTAGGATTGGTACATTAGGAGTAGTTGGAATTTACTAAAGCTATATTATGTATGTAAGCCTTTAAATGCCTTAAAAATACAGTTCAGAGTTGAAATGTTGTAGATTTAGAAGTATTGTGGGCTATCAGTGTTCCTTTGGGAGATACAAGATTGAAAACTAACTACTTTTTTCTTGAAATTGATTGAATTTTACTAGATATAGATGAGGATTTCAAAAATGAGCTGCGGAATTTGATACCGTTACTGCTTGCCCCTGAAAACTTGGTAGAAAAAGAAATTAGTGGATCCAAGGTGACCTGTAGAGATCTTGTAGAATACTTCAAGGTAAGCAAACTCATACTAATTATTTCTGTTAATAGCTTAAAAGACAGTATTCTAATTTTAGGCCATGTTGTTCCCAGAGAAGATAAGATATCTAGGCTGACGCTCACTGATCAGCTCACTTTTATTTTCACTTCATTACTCTGACTTTCCAGAACTGGCACACTACTTCCTAGCAGTACAGCTCTTTGCAAGCTACTGTTAGCAAAATTTGTGGGTTGGTAGCTTTAATTTTCCTCTCTGTGAGTAGGCTGAGATAGCTCAAGCTTTATTAGATATTTTTTTCCTACTTTGAAATCCCAGTTGGGTTTTTTTTTGTTTTGGTCATGTAGTTTTTACAGATAGAAAAACAGCTCTTAAACTCATAGGAATGCAATGAGAATTTCAGATACTCCCTTCTGGATTTTTAACATGCAGGGAAGGCGCTTTCTAAACACTTGCATGTGTAGCACCACTGTGCTCTGAAATATTTATGCAGGATACTCACAGCTGTTAGTCTTGAGCTTTTTTGGTATCATGGTGACACCAGCAGAAATGTGATAACATAATCTCTACATCACCAGGGATGGTGTGTGTAGCCTTTTTTTTTTTTTTTTTAATTGGGACTACTTAGACAGTTGGTTTGGTGGGAATGATGCCACTGTCTCCTAAAGACAGGAGTTTTGCATTGCTACTTTTGGGGTAGAAAAGTTGGGCTGATGTTATGAAACAAACTATGCAAGTAAGGAATTTGAGACCAGAGCTCATTTAATTTCACTTGTAAAACAAAGTAACTTTTTGAAGGAAAGACATGGTATGAGATGCAGAAGTGATGGCTGTTCTGGCAAGTGTAAAATCAGCACGGGAGCACAGAGGTTCACTCTCTCTGTTTACATGGTTGCATGCTGCTGTTTGCTCTGGTTTTTCTCTAGTGGGACCCACTCAGGTACAGTGCAGGGCATGTTCAGCAGCAGTTTAGAAAGGACTGCATCCTAAAAAACCAAGTGTAAAAACCTCTACTGGAAAGCTGATTTGCATCCTGCATCCATTTGGGGAGCAGTGCTGTGGGGTGCTGCAGAAATGCCATGCTTATGTGACTAAAGAGTCCTGCTCCCTTGGGACTGTGCATCTGAAGCTGAGATTGTGAGGCCTGAGTTGGGAGCTGTAGGGCTTTTACTTGGAGGAAATAGCTGCAGGAGCAAGGAGGGTGTCAAGGGAACAGAGTCCTGTATAACTCTTTATGTTTTTGTAGGTTGTTCTGCACCCTAGAGCACTGAGTACATGGGGACCCTGATAACCTTGTTCTCTCCTCCCTTGGAGCAGAAGATCCTCAGGCCTGAGGCTGGCAGCCAGGGCAGGGAGGGAGGGCAGCAGTGGTGGGAAGAGAGTGAGGACAGCCTCCCCTCAAGGGGCTGAGGGTGGCCTTGCTGGTGTAACTTGCACAGCTTGTCCAAGGCCCTGGCATGGCTGCTGCTGCCTGCTGTGCCCCACTTCCCTGTCCCCAGGAGCTGTGCCAGGGCCCAGCCTGTGGGGGCTGGACAAGAAATGAAGTGTGTGTTCTGTTCCAGCCCCCTGAAACCCTGGGGACAGAAAGGACCCCTGAGGATAAGTGGGGTGGGGCACAGTGGGGTAGGCTGCCTGCTTAGCTTCTGGAAGTGTTTTGTCTGCTTAGTTCTGTCTGTACAAAGTGCCTTGATCTGTTTTTTTTCCTCCTACACTTCAGTAGATCAAGGCATGTGGAGAAATGTAAATATTGGTTCTCCCAGCACTGGGGTAAATTTGAGCAGACCTCTTGCCAGAAAGGTTGGGATAGTCATCTCCACTCTTTTGTTATGGTGAAGATTCCCTGTCTAGCAAAGACCTTATGCATTTGAGGGAGTAGAAACCTGCTGTCAAAACCTGTCACATCTTGGGACAGTGGTGGTGTCTCCTCAGGGTGCTCTGCTGCCCTGCTGGGTCCCAGCATAGGAAAGTGAGGGGGAAAAAATTGCCAGACTTCTGTGAAGAGAATTGCATAATTTAGTATTCAGCACTATTACAGAGAAATAATCTGAGCTCTGTCTTTGTATCATCCCTCATTTCTTATTCTGCTTAAACATAAATGTTTAGAAAAATAAACTCTTTTTCTCTCTCCCAGGCTTACATTAAAATCTATCAAGGAGAGGAGCTACCTCATCCGAAATCTATGCTGCAGGTATTTTGTTTTCTTTCAAATAATCTGATTAGATGATGTGTACTTTATAAGTTCTTTGCAACTGAGGAATCATGACTGCTGTGGGCCTGAGTCTCCCCCCCACAGCTGTAGTTCTGGAAGGATCTGTGTGCCTTGAAAGCCACCTGAACTGTGGTGGTTGAGTACTTTTCCCTCAGTTTCAGCAACCAAATGAAATTAAATCAACCAAATTGAGCTGGGGTCTGTCTGGTTGATTGTGTTTTTTAGCTGCTTTAGTGTCCAAGCATTGTTTTCCTGTAACTTGCTGTTTGGCTGGGAGATATCCAGAAATGACATCTTGCAGCTTTAACTACAGTAATTGTCCCTGACATGACACAGGTAGAAAATAAGACTTAAATTCTTAACAAACTTGACAATTACAATTGAGACCAAAACTGTACATCTATAATGTAGAAATAATCCCAGATTCCTTCTTTCCTCTTGGGTACTGGAAGTAATCCAGTACCAGGATTAAAATATAATAGTTTAGTGATCCTTATGTGCTTATTAACAGTAGAGCATTCAGAGGAGATTGCTCATGATGAAGAGCCTGTAGGAGCAAGCTGAGGTTTGTTTGCAGCTGTGCTGGAAAGCTGAAGGAAGGCAGCAATATGTTTTAATGTCTCTTGCTGAACTTCACTTATTTTTATGTGGCCTTTTCCTGGCCATCAGGAGCTCTGGAGGTTTTGGGGGTATGTTTGGAGTGCAGTGCTGTGTAAAACCTGGCAATGCTGTGAATGACACAGGATGCTCCATGTTTTCTAGGCAACAGCTGAGGCGAACAATCTTGCTGCTGTGGCAGGAGCAAAAGACTTGTACAGCAAAGGCATGGAGCAGGTATGATGGCACCACCTTTCCTAAACACCTGCATGCAAACACAGGCCTTCAGCTTCCATGGTGCCTTCTGTGTGAGCACTTCAGTGGGGGAAGGTGACTCAGGGCCAGGACTTGTGTGTTTTCTGCTCTCTGAGCCTGGCTGTGATGCTGGGGAGGTCTGAGAATGGATGTGTGTGCAGGATTCCCACCTGTTAGTTCCCTCTGTGGCCCTTGACAGGCATCTCAAAACCCTGTGGCATGAATTGCACAAGCAGGTGAGCAGACATGTGTTGTGTCAGGCTTGCACAGGGGTGGAATTCTAGTTCTGTAGTCTCATGCTTCTGAATTGTGGTCATTCATTAGCTGCAAAATGCAAGCATTGAAGTGATTCAAAAAATGTAAAGAAACCCCTTTGAAGACAAGAATTACTTTGAAAAACTTGTGTATGTAATTTCCCACTTGCTTCTTCTCTTGAAGATAGTGATCTGATATGATTCTAGGCTGAATGCTGGATGATTTCATACTTTAATGTAGTGGTAGGCAAGGTTTTATCTTAGGAAATTCTGAAAACCATTGCCTGTCTTGTAAAGCTTAACAGGACTGTGCTTATTGTGAAACTGTACAACCAGAAAGACCAGTAGGTGTGAGAACATGCTATAAACATAGCTCCCCATTAATTAGGCTAATTGTGGTCTTAATTGCTGGAGTAGTTGTTTTGAAGTTAAAGTAAGACTTAGTGCTAGTAGCAGACAATCCAGTTCCATTTGTTAGCAGGCTGTTTGGAGAATGCTCTGCTGGTTTAAGGGAACTCCTCTATTTCCATTTTGGAAAATGTCTTGAAATAGTAAATGTGTTGTTTATAATAAGTGCCAAGTCTGCCTTCCAAACTTGAATCTTCAATGGTTGTTGAGACTCTGTAGCAGTAAGGTTTCTAACTTGGGGCAGGGAATAAACAGAAACAGATGTTCTTTTAAACAGACTTTGTTTCCATAGTAATGTTCCCCAGTACTGTATATTTTTATATCACTGTAGAGATATGCACAAATTATGGAATAGTTTTTTATCCAGATGTCTCATGATGTTCTTGATCTGACACAGCTCTGAAACTTCTATTTTTAAGAACAGAAGTGGGAACTCTTTGGATTTAAAACTCAATTATGTAAAGGTAGTTCTTGCTGCAGCCTCTGAGTTGTCCTCATGAACCAAAGCCCTCCTTTGCTGAGTGTGCAGAATGAAAATACTGTCCCCCTAATGACCTGAAATGTAAGGAATAGCAGGTGCAGTGTCACAGAGGATAAGAAAACAGTGGCAGTTATTTGTGTGGTGGCCTCTTGATCCCTCAGCAGCTCCTGGTGTTTAACATGCTCTGGGCAATGTGAAAAAGCTGTTCTGAAGGGTGAGACTGGTAGGAATTTTCCAGGGAGTTTTGGTGGATGTGGAGGACCTCATTCTGGGGAAAAGCAGGGATGTGTGTGTGGCTGTTGTCCTGTCCTTCTGGGCTTGCCTGAGGAGAACAGAGGAAGCATGAGTTCATTCCTGTGCTGTGGGTCTGGGTGTGGTTGGATGGGTGAGCCTCCTGCCCTGCCAGGACCCAAAATCCCTTTGGCTGGGCCTGGGGCTCCCAGAGCCGAGGGGGCAGCGAGGGGCAGCTGCTCTCAGGGTGTGATTCCATGGGTCTGCTTGTCCCTCAGGTGTGTGGGGGAGATAAGCCTTACCTTGCCCCGTCGGACCTGGAGCAGAAGCACCAGGATTTCCGCGAGAGCGCCATCCGCCACTTCCGCTCCGTCAAGAAGATGGGAGGGGAGGAGTTCTGCCGGCGCTACCAGGAGCAACTGGAAGGGGAAATCGAAGAGATCTATGCAAACTTTGTGAAGCACAACGATGGCAAAAACATCTTTTATGCTGCTCGTACCCCTGCCACTCTCTTTGCGGTCATGTTTGCCATGTACATAATCTCAGGACTGACTGGGTTCCTTGGCATGAACTCCATAGCTGCCCTGTGTAATCTCGTGCTGGGGATGGCTCTTATATCGTTTTGTACTTGGGCATACGTTAAGTACTCTGGGGAATTCAGAGAAGTTGGAACAGCCATTGATCAGATCGCTGAAGCTATATGGGAACAGGTTGGTATCTGTCTTTATTGCAAAATCTTGCTGTCTTGAGCAGACATATCAAACAGCTTCTGTTCAGTGCTGAGAGGGAAAAGCTGCTCTAGACCTAATAGAGAATGCTAGTGCTGCCAAAGGGAAAATCTGCTCAGTAGTGTGACTGCTCTCTTCAGGAACAGATGCTGCACACAAGGAATGTTAAATAAGCTTAGGATATTATCAAACAAGTGCTACTTGAGGTGCAGAAGGTTACTTAGATGGTAAAGGGGACACTTCAAAACTCTTTCCTTATTCAGAGCAAGGAATTGATTAGTCCTTGGAGAGAACTGGCTGAGTGATGGCTTTCAGCAGCTGCTACCAGAGGGTGCACAGCAGGTTTTGTCCATCAGGGAGACCTGTGCTGTCTGTGACAGCTTCAGTGGGTGCAACTGCTGTTTGCAAGGAATACTCAACAAATTCCTGAAAGAAAAGGTGTGAGTGTAAGGACAGCTGAGCTGGAGGAGAAAACTTTTTGCAAAGAGATTTTGCTGCCTAAACTCAACTGTGCCAGTAAGGTCAATGTAGAGAATTCCTGACCAGTAGTTTTTGGAGCATTCTGACTAGCTCTGTCCGGTGCCAGTAGAAGGAAAGCACTTTGCTGCTGTTGTTACTGGAAATAAAGGGTGCACTGAGCTTATCTGGGGTGACATTAAAGTGTGTCCTGTGAGGCACGAGCAGATAACTAACTGCAGCCTTCTGCACAGATGCTTGCTTCCACAGCTGGAAAATTCCTGTGTTCAAGGCTGATCCTAGGCACTGGTACACTAGGCCTATCTGAGCAACCTGCTGAGGGTCCCAGTCAGGCTTTGAGTTACACTGGAGCATAAAAAGTGGGTTCTTAAAACTGGGGAAATGAGCATCAGTAAATAAATTGGTAGCTAAATCTTGAGTAAGCATCACTGACTAGTGATTAAAATTGAGGCTCTCCAGTACTACTGGAGCTGCTGCTGCACAGAAGGCTTGGTTTGGCTGCTGCCTTCCCTGGGAGGGAGAAGAGGGAGAAAGCTTGGCTTATGCTGTCAGGAGCTTGCCACCTGGGGGCTGGAGGAAGGCGGTCTCCAAAAGCCCTCAGCAGTGTTGCTGTTAGAGCTGCACATCACCAGTAACATGCAAAGCACTGCAGTCCTGTCTGAGTCACTCTGATTAAATACTCATTCTTGCTGTTGATTTTTCTGAATCTCTGCCTTTCTTTTCCCTCCTTGCTTCAGAGGAATCCCAGGAAGGTGAGAAGTTACTGGCAATCAGGTTTTTTTTTTTGTTTTTCTGAACTTGATTGAGTTTCTGCTGTGTTGTGAGAGCCCTTGTTCCTAACAGCTGAATTCGTGTTTTAGGTGTTTTCCAAACTCTTTGAAGTCCTTAGACGCCGAACGGTTCGTCGTGCTCTCACATCAGTGCCGCGACAGCGACTCTCATCCAACAATAACAAGAAGAAAAACTAGCCAGTATTTTTAACTTTCTTTCTGTATCTGAAGTGTTCACACTTACACATATAGGACAATAAGCTGGACCGTCTGGGCCGGTCTGCATAAATGCTGTAACCATACCAGACTGATGCTGCATATGGGGTATGGAATTGCACATCCATCTTCTAGGAACTGTAAAGTGGTTTGAATTCAGTGAAATACTGCTGTGTAGGAGGGGTATCACTTGTGTCCATAGCATGTGACTGCTTTAACCTCATTACTCTAGCAGCAAAATTCATTTCTCTTTCAGTTCATGCCACTTTGTGTCAGACTTCATCATTCTAAGTTTTTTCATGATTTCAAATCTCATCTCTTTATATGATTTTATATCTTCTTTTCCTTGGTTACCTCATTTTCTTGTTTCTTTTGCACATCTCTCATTCCACAGGTGTTGAAGCCCATGAGTGATAATTTGATGGAGGATCATATGAGGCAGTCTGTAAAAAACTCTATCAAAGCAGGCCTGACCGAGCAGGTGGCTCACCATGCCAGACTAAAGACAGACTGACAGTTCGTCTCCTCTTCAACTCTGCCCTCTCATCCTAGACATGCTTGCTGTACCATGAGAACTCAATAATAAAAAAAAAAATAAAATAAAAATAAACCAAAGTTTACAATCAACTGTAGAAGTAGTTTAGTGTGATTGGCTTCACAGATTGCTGCCATCACCGGGGAAGAGTTACATTTGTCAGTGCTCAGCTCTCAGACAAACTGGTGCCATGGAGCCCGCTGGGGTGGGAGGGAGCGGCTCAGTTTTACGCGTTTGGGGGAGGGAGGGGGAGCTTCCCCAGCGTTGCGAGTCCGTGCGGGCTCCGGCTTACAGGGGAGCCCGTCCCCTGCAGCAGCTGACTTCAGGGACGTGTGGCGATCAGCCCCATCCAGCTGTGCTCTCCCCGATGTCCCCAGCTCGGCACCACCCCCGGCAGCTCCCGCGAGTGTTTCTGTGCGCGGCCGGTGCAGCCGTCGGAGCAGCCCCTCCATTACAACGCGTCTCCTGCTTTCTTGCCTTGTCCCAGTGTTACACAGATGCATGTGCTGGTTCCTCACGCAGAACTGGGCTGTCAGGGAGGCAGTGGCTCAGCACAGAGGGTGTCTCGCCTTGAACTCGCAGACCTGGTCCCGAGGGAGGTGCATATCGGAACTGAGCTGTCTTTTTCTGCAGTTTAGCCTTCGTGTATATAATATTGCCATTAATTCTACTGGGGAAGAAATTCCATCCAAAAATGTTGCCTACAGCTACCAAGCAATGAGTTAGGATTGTCTGTACAGTGTGTTTAGTTTTTATTTTTTAAGAAATCACAGATAGGGCATGTATATGAAATATAAATATATAAATACGATTTTGTATCAAAGTTTTGTAGTTTATGGCAAAACCTGGTTCTGTGGTAGCTAAGTGCAGTTCCTGTAAAGGAATGTTTGTGGCTCATGTAAATGTGTGAATGCATCAACAATTTGAAGTTTTTTGATATATTTGTGATATTTACCTGCCTTGAGCACTGCAATCTCTCACCCCCTTGGAAAAATCAATGGGAATGTTTGTTGTGAAACTCTTGTCTTCTGTTGCATTTTAAAGTTATTTCCTGTAATTTATTTTCAGTACATGATTAAAATCAGTTGTGTATATATTAAATGAAATCCGTGCTTATTTTTAAAAGATGTTCAAGTATTGTATTCTACTACATAAACTATGTCAAATACTTATCCTGACAATTATATGAACAGATTTGTTCTATTGTACTTCATAGCTTTCTATTGAAGCCGATGTTCCTCTCATGCTTGTCTCTGGAAGGTGACCTCTGTCCAGCTCATACCCCCTCCCTGTATAGGAAAACCTCCTGCTGTTCTTAAGCACGCTTTTGACTTGTGGAGTTGCTTGTCAGATTCTGCCCTCCGACAATTGTATCACTCTGAAATCTTGTTACTGGCTTTACTTTCATTCTTGGCTAAATCAGTATCAACTGTGTGGAGTGTAAAGGCAGCTAAACAATTAACTGCTGTAGTTTCAGCTGGAAATGGCTGTGTGCAATAGCTGGGTTTTTTGCATTCCTAAATGGTAACAATTTTCATCAACATTTGAGCTTTAACATCTCCCCTCTCTTGAGTGAGGGAAATCATCTGTCTAGGACTAAAGCAATTGCACTGTGACTTTTGCACTGCAAAGAACTGCTGGGGAGTGGTGGTTACCTGCCCTCTGCAGGTGAGGGCTCAGCTCCAGGGGAATGATGCTAAAGATGAGGTAGGAATGTCGCATTTTATGATATCTCAACCTGTACAGATTAAATACTGTTATTCAAACAAGCCCGTGCTCTGGTGATTAATCTCTTACTAACCAAATGAGTCACACGGGGGCTCACAGGGCCATGCCTGCCCTTGCTGCTCCTGGTCTCCAGGAAGGTGCAGGTCAGATTTGAGGCTGTGCCCTGCAGAGATGGGAAAAGCAGAACTCTTCCCAGCATGTGGACAAGGAGTTGGGAGGCTTCATACGGACTCTTCTTCAGGGTTTGTGGGGGCAGTTCCTGAACACTGTGCCACCAAGTTGCAGCATGAATGCAAAATCCCCTCGAGCTTGTGGGAGGGATGGAAGGGAGGGAAGGGGAGGGGCAAAGATGACTTTTAACCAGGTCTAGGAAACGATTTGGAAATGGCTGGAGTGTGTCCTTGTATGGCCATGTTGACTGTTAAGCCCATCTCACCCTTCCCTGGAAAAGGGGACTCCACTCTGTGGGCACAGAGGTCAAAGTGCCAGGAACTGGAATGGGACCTGCACTTTTGGAGTGGCAGCAGCCTGGAGTGAGGTTGTGTTACTTGAACAGCGAGCTGGATTTAGCCAGCAAGGAGGGTGTGGGAGCAGTTCTAGGTCTGGCTGGACACATCTGTTTTTGCATGAGGGACAAGGTCTGGCCTGGTTTGGGGATGGGTTTCCATTTTCATGTGTGGCTCCCTCTGTGAGGGCAAGAGAGGCTCTGCAAGGGCCACTTGAGGGCAGACTTGTGTCTCAAGGGCAGCTGCTGGGAGCAGGCACTGTGGGGATGTCAGGGGTGCAGCTGGGGGCCCTGTCCATCTGCTGGCTACTGGAGCAGACTGGTGATCATCCCCAGGCTGGATCCTGCATGAGCTGCCCCTCCTTGCCCAGTTCCTGGAGGGATCTGGAGCCTATATATTGTTCCCAACAGCTCTTCATGGTGACTGGGTGCAGGGGCAGGTGGGGGTGTTGGTGCTGTTGTGCCACTGACCTGGAAGGATGGTGTGAGCACATTCCCTGTGGGAATGCTGGCTCAGCCTTGCTGCTGGTGGCACGTGGGGACATGAAGCTGTAGTGGCCTCACCTCCATGGGCAACCCCTTACAATCAGTATTCCCAGTAGAACAAGCTTGGCATTTCTCACCTTCTGTGTACTAGTAAGAACATCAGGTTGGTGCACAGAGTGGGTTCCTCGGGGAACTGAGGAGTTTCACAGGGCTTTAAAGGAGGTGGCAGCTGCTTTCTCTACCTGGGCTATTCCACTGCTACTCAGGAAAGGAGTTCTGAGCGCTGATCCAACTCTGTGCAAACTGTGGTGTACTCAGGCCTTGCTTGCCCTGTCCTCCCTGAGCATGCAAAAAGCTGAATTTAGCAGGAAAAGCACAGAGCAGAAGATGGTAACTGACCTGTGGCCAACTCCTGCCTCACAGAGGGACACGGCAGAGTGAGGTAGGAAAGCTACATGGAAGATCCTACAGCTGGCAAAGTACAGCATCGTGCCAGAGAGAGACACAGGAGCAGAGGTGACAGGGCAGGTGTAACAAGGTACAGCAGCAGAAAGAGGTGGAGAAGGTGACAAGACAGGATACTTGCTCCTTCTGCTCTGGAGTGTGTGCCCAAGTTCCTTGGGATAGGAAATCCCCATCTGGAGCACTACATGTGGTGACTTCTGGCTCCAGAAAGACTTAACTAGCAGGAAATTTCTGGCTATCTCCTAACTTAATTTTCCTACAGCAGACTAGGGCCAGGCCACAGATTTTTCCTGTAGATGTCTGATCCCTGAAGGTTAAGTTAAGGAAACTAAAAGTACATCAGGTGGCGTGGCACAACAATAACAAAAGGGTAGAGAACAGGAAGCCCTGTGTTCTATGAACCCAGATATGGGGAGTGTCCAGTGTTTTGTTTTATTATGCCAGCCAAGTACAGCAGTATCTCAGAACTCCCTGCCTGTTACTGTGCTGGGTTAAAGTAATTAAGCACAGGTTATGGTAAAACTTCCTTTTTTAATTGAAAAACATGGGTGGGAGTACAGACAATATTTACACAAGTTCTCAAGTGCAGCTCAACTCAAGAACATATGACAAATACGATAAAAGGATGTGGGTCCAAAAGAGAATTATGGAGGGTACCAAAAGGTACAACTTCCTGCTAACCACGGACCTTCAGATCAGATCAGCAACTGAAAAAGAGAAAAGGCAAGGATTAGGAGCATTAACTGAGCGTGTGACTCACAGCCCAGCACTGCTGCCCCAGGCTGTCCCAGAGGAAGGGCCAGCAGCACGCACCGTTCATGGGCATCTCGTCGATCTGGGTGGAGTAGTACTGCTCGATGTCGCGCAGGATGCGGATGTCATCGTTCTTCACAAAGTTGATGGCGACGCCTTTCCGGCCGTACCTGCCCGAGCGGCCGATCCTGCAGAGGCACGAGGGAAGAGGCAATGGAGCCACTGTGGGAGACTTCCCCCAGCCCCAGGGGCCCGAGGGAAGCCCCAGCCTACCTGTGTATGTAGAGCTCTCTGTTGTTGGGCAGGTCGTAGTTAATGATCAGCGACACCTGAGGCACATCCAGGCCTCGAGCCCAAACGTCTGTGGAAATGAGAACTCGGCTGCGAAGAGAAGGGCACAGTCAGGACTTTTCTGGGAGCCCCCAGGCTCCAGCACAGAGCATCCCCTCTTTTCTGGGAGCCCCCAGTCTGCTGCACAGAGCATCCCTCTTTTCTGGGAACCCCCAGTCTGCTGCACAGAGCATCCCTCTTTTCTGGGAGCCCCCAGTCTCCAGCACAGAGCATCCCCTCTTTTCTGGGAACCCCCAGTCTTCAGCACAGAGCATCCCCTGCTATTCCATGCTCCCCCCTGCCCACAGCACACCAGCAGCATCCACACTTCTGTTGCATGGAAAGCTGTCCCTTGCACTAGCACCAAACTGCAGCCAAGACAACACAGCTTGGATCTTTCAGAAGGAATAATGCTCCCAAGTGTTTAAAATACTGAGGATGGAGCACAAACATTTTTCCTTGAATTTTAAATGCAGCAACTTCCAATAGCTTCAGCAAAATAGAACAGACTAATTCTACACCCAGAGGTAGGAGTGTCCCTCCTTGGAAAATGGCAAGCTCTCAACCCTTCCACACCAGAGGAGATCAGAGTTCTCCTCAATCTGAGCTGAGCAAAGCCTTGAGACAGAGGCATTAGGGTTTCCCTGCCCCAGGGCAGCACTGACCTAAGCAATGCTATC